GGATCAGGAACAAGAAAATAATATTAAGAAGTTAAGATAACCTGTATGTAAAGGAACATTCTGAATGAAAAGAATTGGTGTAATTTATGTCTTTATGCCATAAAACATTAATACCAAAGGGAAGAATCACAGAAGTTGTAATTTCAGAAAGCAGTTACTTCACTTAGGGCTGTGGGGGCAAAGACAAGCAGTTCATGGTATTTAGAATCTTGAAGGAGAGACACTGCAGAGTTTGGATCCAGATATCTAGGAGTTTGTTACTGGTACCTAAGAGTTTGGAAGAAATATCCCACGAGCCTGTAAACAGACCTCTGAGATGGGGACACAGCCTAACTGGTGCCATTTCCTTAGATATTCGGAAAATAATTTAAGATTGTAAAAGTATTTCAGAAAATCCACAGGGTTGGAACTTGGACCTTGGAGGAGATCATGGCAGACAACTGGTACTTGAACCTTTAAAAGGCACAATGAGGCTGCTGCTGGGAGTCTCAGGAGAAACAAATGGGCAACTTGAACCAACTACTGCTACTGGGAATCATGTGCTCCTTATAGAGTAAAGTACCATTAGTAGGGTGATGTTGATAGGAACAGGCAGTAAAACTGGAGAGAGAAGGCTCCTGTTTCCCCTGTAGCCTTCTATCTCCCTGTAGCACATACTCTGGGCAGAGTCTATCAGGTGGTTGGGCCCAAAATCACAAAGGTGAGAGAGAATAACTCATAATAGCCTCTGCGTTTGCTCTTTTATATGTATTTCAAATGTCATACAACAATAATTTTTCTAAAGTTTATGATTTTACCTAACAAAATGGAATCATTCTTCTCTGTTATTTAAACAGTATTTAGTATGTCGTATTTGATACAAAGAATTGGTTAAACAGGCAAAAAGAGAACACTGAGACATCACAGAGATAGTAGTAATACAGGAAGCAGCTCCCACCCCTAAGACTAGGGAGCAAAGGGGAAGAAGGGTTGGGTTTATCAGCATTTAGAAACCTGGAATGAGGACCCTAGAAAGCTTGGACTTGGACTCATGAAAAGAACACACTGTCTGTGGTGCCGGTGCCTCAGGAGCACCGAGGAGACCCCCTCCACACACACATATCCATAGAGAAGCGATAGAGACCCTTGAGGAGGGAATTCTGGCCAGTTGACGATGGCGCTGACCTCTGAGGGAATGCACTGATGCTGGTTCTAAAAAACGTAGTGGTGGCCGGGCTCGGTGCCTCAGCCTATAATCCCAGCACTTTGGGAGCCCGAGGCATGTGGATTGCCTGAGCCCACAGATTTGATACCTGCCCGGACAACTTGGTGAGACCTCATCTCTACAATAAAATTAAAAATAACCAGGTGTAGTAGCGTGCATATGTAGTTCCAGCTACTCAGAAGACGGAGGCAGAAGGATCATTGGAGCCCAGCAGGTCAACGCTGGGGTGGCCATGAGAATGGGTGCCACTGCCCTCCAGCATGGGCAAAGGAGTGAGACTCCAACCCCCCCCAAAAAATGTAGGGGTAAAAATGAAACTGGGATCACCTACTGCTGCTGGAATCAACTAGGTGCCAAGTGAAGATCTGTTCTCTTCACTGGTTTACAGCCATTTGACTGTCATATACCTTTGTACAGCTTTCTTCTTATTTCTTATTCTTGGTGTTCATTGTGCTTCTTGAAACTATGAAATTATAGTCTTAAAGATTTTAGTCAATTTTTTTTTCTGTCCCTCCTGCCTTCTTGGGAGACTCCAGTTTCATGTATGTTAGGCCATTTGAAGTCTTTCCAAGTTTACTGCTGTGCTTTTAATTTTTTACCTGTTTTTTTTTGTTTTATTTTATGTAGTTTCTATTGCTGTCTTCAAGTTCATTAATCTTTTCTTCTGCAATTTATAATCTGCTTTTAATCACTTCTATTGTAAGTTTCCATCTCAGACATTATAGTTTTCATCTCTAAAAGTCTGATTTGGTTGTTTTGCTTTTTCAAATATCTTCCATGTGTCTACTTAATTAGCTCAATATTCCCTTACCTTTATCAATGTATACAGTTAGAATATCAGTCTTTAAAAGGGACTCTGGAATATGGCATACTAGGAAGCACCAGAAATCTGTCTACCGACCTAGACAATAATTTTCCTACCAGAATCTGTTTAGTGTAACTTGTGAAAATCTGGAGTCTAATGAAGCTTGCAACTTCCAGAAGAATGCTTGGATAGTAATTTGTAGTTAATTTTGGTTAATAACAAAAGGTAATAAACAAAGTTTATCTCTTCACACAGTAGCAGCTATCTGTTCCCCTTCCCTAGCCCTGTGGCAGGCCACTATGCACAGATTCCTGGAGCAGCCTGCACACAGCTTGTGGGAACCAAGATGGACAAAAAGACTCTATTCTTCCAGTTTTGGGGATCTGTGCTCTGATCACTTCTGATAATAGAAATGTGGACAAAGAAGCAGTGGCCACTTTTTTTTTTTTAAAGCAGGATTTATTGAGAGGACAGAAAAGCTCCCAGAGTGGGAGGGGACCTGAGAGGGTTGCCCCAGTGGCCACTCTTGTTGCACCTCCCTAACATTATTACCAACCCCTTCCCTCAGGCTGGAGCAACTTTCAGGGAATTTAAAGGACTAGCACCTTTTTTTCTTTTCCTTCATTGTTTTTTCTTGTTTTGGAAGCCAGGTATTTAAGACAAGTACAGTGAAAAGCAACCATATTAAAGGGAGAAAATTAGAAGGTTATTGTCAAGACTAGAGAAGGCACAGTTCAGGAAACACTTAAGAAAACCTTAAGTTTATACCTCATGCTGATCCTCAGCACAGAGACAGCCTCCAAAAATTTAAAAACAGCAACCCCTAGGGAAAGTGGAAAATCTGATATCCAGAGAGTTATCACATTATTAAATGCATATGCCCAGTTCTGAACAACAACAACAAGTAATCACAAGGCATAGAAAGAAACTGGAAGATAGAGTCCATTCAAAAAAGGAAAAAATCAACAAAAATGTACCTTGAAAAAGACATGATGACAGACATAGATAAACACTAAAACAGCTGCCTTAAAGATGCCCAACTAAAGGAAGGTGTGGATAAAGTTTTTAAAAAATATATTTAGAAAAATTTGAAATTACAATGAAGAGCTAACCTAGAAAAAACCCCTGCAGCTGAAAAGTACAATAACTGAAATAAAAATTTACTAGAGGGATTCAAAGGCAGACATGAGCATACAGAGGAAAGAATCTGTGAAATTGAAGATAGAATAATGGAAATTATCAAGTCTCAGGAACAGGGAAGAAAAAGATTGAAGAAGAAGTGAACAGAGTTTTAGGCACCTGTGTAACACCATCAGGTGGGTTAACATATGCATTGTGGGGGGGGAGGTCCTAGAAGAATAAAGAACAAGTAAAGAGACTAGTTCAAGAAAGGAGGAAAAACTTCCCAACTTTGATGAAATATATGACTACAAACATTCAAGGAACTTAAGGAATTCCAAATAGGATGATCTCAAAGAAACATGATGAGATACATTTTTTTCCCACAATATCCCCTTTATTGATATTCATCACAGTTATGAGGTCTTGTCCATCAGAAAGCACAATATGTGTTATGTAGAACTACATACAAAGACAAAAATAAGACATACACATAAACAACCACATCAGCTAATCACAGCTAATCAAACCTCTGAATGTGTCTTCAGTTTTGATCATCAGTGCTTTGGAAGAACATACATAGACCCAGCCTGAGGTTGGCTTTTGGGGTCTTAGAACGTTTGCAGAGCAGGAGATTCTCCCTCGGAAGCAACTGAATATGTAAACTCAGAGAGCGGGCACTGACCACACAATGCCTGAATATCTGGCTCCTGGGCTGCCTGCCTTCTCAGCAGAGCCCACCCAAAGTCCCGTGTGCTCTTCTGATGACTGAGGACTGCAGACCTCAGCTGTGTTTGAAGCAGACAGGTCACAGCCAACTCCGATGGATACGCTCTGTGTAGAAAGGAGTAGGCTGGCTTCTAGTTTGGTTCAAGCCATTCCTTAGGGCCATTTCAGAACAAATGACAAGTTAACCAAAATTTATTTTCAAAGGAAATGTAAAATTCTCTTTTTTTCCTGCCCTCTTTCCCTTCCCATCCTAAGCCCTCTGGCTAGACTCCAGCAGAGACCACTGTAGCTCAAGAGTTTTTGTTTGGTCAGGTTACAAGTTATCAAATGCTCAACTCAGAAGGACCCACTGCGATTCAAAACGTCTTTCATTCACTTAAATTAATGGAAGTGGCTCCTTCCATTAGTAAATCAAGAGTTTGAATTCTAGCAGTTTACTGGTGTCCTCAAGTCTCTTAGAAAATCGAAGGCTCTTAAACTTATCAAAATAAATGCCTAGGGGATTTGCTCCCGGAATCCACTTAGAACAGAGGTCTCTGATCAAAACCGCACTCTGTCTTCTTTCCACAGGGCTCATTTTGTGCTCACAGTGGTCCTAATTCCCTTAACTTGCATAATGTCAATCTTTGCCTTAACAACTTAACAAAAAAGACTAGCTGATTCCCTTCCCTTTGTCTGTAGTCCACCTCCCATGCAGTACCTCCCTGGAACGAGGCGGAGGAAGGAGTATTCCTCTATGGGCTGGCTTGGTCTTGGAAAGTGGGTAGCTATGTTCATGATGCTCCAGTTCTGGCATCAGCAACAAGGTAACAGGAGGGGCAGATGAGAGACATGCTAGCCATTCTGCTCTGAGTTGCTGGCTCAGAAATGCTTAGGAGACTTCTCTTAGTAGTTTGCTTCTGTAGGTGACCTTGAGAAGTTGCTATCGAGTCTAGTGAAGGAAACTGAAGGTACCAAGCAGAGACGTCCCTGATATGTATGTCTTTGATGATCCCACCGAAGAAAGATTCCATTCAGTGGCTGAAATAAAGATCTGTAGTCCCATGACATCCTGAAATTCCAAATCAGATCAGTATCTTCCCTGAAAGCAAAGTAAAAATTGTTGTATTATCATCAGAGTCAATCAGTATAATGAGATGGAGAAGATAGAAAGAAAGAATGTCGTAATTTGAAGAATGAGGCTGTGGTCGCACAGAAGCCAACCGCTGTTGCTTCCTCATGCTGCCTTTCCCGGGGTCTGCAGCATCTCAGCCCTAGCCCAGGCCAATGTCCAGTGACATCATCACTGCAAATCCCAGGATGGAGGCCCAGGACGCCAGTTTCCCATTACCACTGATCTGGGCTTTGGGGATGATGTCATCCACGACCACGTAGACCATGAAGCCAGCAGCAAAGGCCAGAGCACAGGGCAAGATGAGCTCAGCCAGCACCACAGCAAAGGCACCAAAGACCCCAGCCCGGGGCTTCACCATGCCGCTTAGCTGCCCATACCAGAAGGCTCTCCAGGTGGAGAAGCCGGCCCCTCCTCACAAGGGGAGGCTGTCAGCCAGGCCCTCAGGGAAATTCCGGATCCCAATTCTGATGGCCAGATTCCTGGCATTCTCAAAGGTGGCTGACACCCGCCTTCTCCACAGCCCTGAATCCAACTCCAACAGCCAGACCCTCTGGAACACTGTGTACAGTGATGGCCAAGATGAGCAGCACAATCCTTCTCCAGCTGCTGCTGCCGTGCTGTGCCGGGTTCCCTCGAGAAGGCATGGGGGGAGCAGGACCCTTTGGAAGACCAGTGGCCGACGCCTTCTTCCTCTGATAGGCCTCACCATTCTCACTCTTGTCTGAAAGAAGCCCCATTCTATCTATCCGGATGGAAAGTTCACTCTCAGAGAAGAGCAGCATGGGACGCTCTGGATCAGACTTCTTCATCAATGCAGGGTCGAAATTCAGTGCCAGGGCCATTTCAGGGGGGGTGGGCGGGTCTTGTACCGCACCCAGGTGAGGCATCAGGAGGTCAGCCAAGTAGACAAAAACAGCTCTGAGGGTGAAGCCAACAGTTACTGGGAAGAAGGCAAAGGCACCTAAGCCACCGGCGGACACGGCCATCTCAACCTCTGGGGCCAGGAGAGACCAGTAGGAAGCTGCCAACATAACCCCTGCAGCAAAGCCAAGGCTTCCATCTAAGATCCGCCTCTGTCCACTAGAGAATATGAACACAAGTGCTGCCCCGCAGCTGTCATCCCCCAGGTGAAGAAGGTCCCCAGCAAGGGCTGGAACATGGAGCTGTGGCCTTGGAGCATACTGGTTACAATAGGGTGCCCTCTCCAGCTCCCACTGCACATCCATCAGCCCCTGCTGCCGCTGGCTCGCCGACTCCACCCCTGCAGTCACTTCCTGCTTCCCTGGCGCACACATTGATGAGATATATTCTAATCAGATTGTTGAAAGTGAAAGACAGAAAATCTTGAAAGCAGTAATAAGATTACCGGCAGATTTCTCAGAAACTTTGGAGATCAGAAAGCAGTGGACTGATACATTTAAAGAGCTAAAAGGAAAAAAACCCAGAACTTTAAAACAAGAACCCTATATTTGGCAAAAAGAGACGGGATCAAGATGACTGACTAGACACAGTGTGTGCCTCCTTCACAGAGAAGAACTAGACATTTCAAACAGATCATCTGGGAGAGAATACACTGATTCACCAGAGAAGAGATGGGAAGTGCTAGAAGTAAGTAAGGAGGGTTCAAGGCAGCTTCCCCAGACAAGAACCGACTGAGAACCTGGAGAGGCTCCTGGATGTTGGAACAAAGTAAGAGAGAAAGTTCCAAAACAGGCGCTTATGATTTTGGCTACTGGAGAAACCCTTGGCCCATTAGGGCCTCTGCATGCAGAGCTATCTAAAGATTGCACAGAGATGTTGCTCTAGAAAGGGAACTCAGAATCCCACAGGCATCCAAGCCCGGAGAAGCCTCAGGTGGGTGCCATTTTGAGAACCTAAATACCAGGGGATCTACAGGCAGAGCTTCAGCCACTGTGCTGCTCCAAAGAGGGAGAAGAGAAGATGGGTGCTCCCACACACTCCAAGAAGGCTATCTGAACCCTGCTATGAGCTGCTGTTAAGACTGAGATGCAAGGGAACTGAATTTACTCACAGCTTCTTGCTCACACTGCTTGCCTGGACGGTGCCCCATTTTCTCTAGTCCCAGTCCCAGGGCACCATTGTGAGAGTTTAACACCAAGCTGTGTTCCACTTTGGGCCTGAGTTTGGGATTGTGTTCCACCTGGCCAAGGAACAACAGGAATACTATCACAAAAACATATGGGAATAAAAATTTACAGTTTGTATAAAACAAGCACACAAAGGATAAAGAGAAAGGAATCAAATGGCAACGTGACAGAATTTCATCAAATCACAAAGAGAATAAGAAACAAAATCTACAAAACAATTTGAAAACAATTGAGACAGGAGATGGCTAGAAAAAGGCTAGGGGGACAGACAGGAGGGTCCTCTTCTAGTGAATCCCTGGCAGGCCTCTCAAGCTCAGCATTGGTAAACAAGCTGCCTGCTAGCCTCTCAAGCTAGAGCTTAGGTACTCAACTGCTGGAATTGAAAAGCAACCGATCAGCTCACCACTAGTCCCCTACCTCCTACCAACTGGTCCTTAATACTGCCCAGAAAAGCTACAGCTCAGAGCTAGTACTAGTCAATTGGCTTGGACTTAGGGCTATATAAGCACCAGGTTTTCGGCCCCAGATGGGCAACCTCTTCGGGTCCCCTGCCACTGTGGGAGCTTCTCTGCCCTCTCAATAAATCCTGCTTACTCACTTTCCGGCTGTCTGTGTCCCTCATTCTTCCTGGGCATGAGACAAGAACCTCGACCCTGAAGAGCTGCGACCTGAAGAGCTGCAAATCATCAGAGTTGAAAAGTCGTGTACCCCAGAGGCTGGCTAGCCAGCCGACAGAGCTGGCTGGACCAGGTGAGCTGCCAGAAGAAGGCGAGACTCTGAAGCTGAGACACCTAGGGGGCTAGCCACTGAACCAGCAACACTCTCAGGGCTTGGCTTGCCAGCCCCCCAAATCGCTACACTCTCAGGGCTTGACTTGTCAGCCCATTAGAGCTGACACTTCCGGGGCTAGGCTTACCAGTACCTTGATGACTCTTTCTGGGGCTTGGCTGTCCCATTGAGCTGATACTCTTGAAGCCCAGGCTGACCTGAATAATCCACATCACAGTCAGCAATGTGACAGGAAGAAGGCCTCATGAATCAATAATAGCCTTGAATGTAAATGAATTGAATGCTCCACTTAAAAGATACAGATTGGCAGAATTAATTTTAAAATGATCCAACGATATACTACCTGCAAGAAACTTACCTCACCCATAAAGACACATACAAACTGAAAGTAAAGGGATGGAAAAAGATATTCTGAGCAAACAGAAACCAAAAGTGAGCAGTAGTAGCTATACTTATATCACATAAAACAGACTTTGGGTCAAAAACAGTCACGAAAGACAATGTCATTATATAATGGTAAAGGGATCAATTCAGCAAGAGGATATAATAATCCTAAATATATATACACCCAATATTGAAGCACTCAAATTCATAAAAACATTAATAGACCTAAAGAAAGTGATAGACAACAATACAGTAATAGTGGGGAAATTTAACACCCCACTCACAGCACTAGACAGATTATAAAGACAGAAAATTAACAAAAAACATCAGACTTAAATTGGACTTCAGACCAAATGGACGTAACAAATATTTACAGAACATTCTACTCAGCAACTACAGAATATGCATTATTTTCATCAGCACATGGAATATTCTCCAAGATAGACTACATGTTAGACCACAAAGCAAGTCTTAACAAATTTTTAAAAATTGAAATTATATCAAGTATTTTCTCAAACCACAAAGGAATAAAGCTAGAAATCAATACCAAGAGGAGTTTCAAAATCAAATATGTGGAAATTAGTGTGTTTTTTTCTTTTATATGAAAAATAGTTTTGTACTAAATCTGATTTAAATAAGACAATCCAGGATGAATTTTTAAAATGAATAATTAACATTTTGCTTCATGATAAAAGCTAAAGAATTGCCATGTATTCTATTCTAAATTGACACTGAGGGGGAAGAGAGAGAGAGAGAAAGAAGAGAAGAGAAGAGAAGAGAAGAGAAGAGAAGAGAAGAGAAGAGAAGAGAAGAGAAGAGAAGCGACACAGAGATGCCATATCTTAAGAGATAAATATACATTACTGATTTCGGGTTAAAAGGCCATATTTCCGCTATTGATTCCCATGCACCTAAAGTGAGCTAAGAAAACAAAGTACATGATCTAAACAAAATAAGACTTTCCCATTTCATAAATGGGTTCTAAATATAATCTCAGAACAGGAAGAATTTTAGTTATGATTCTATGTTTTCCAAAATGGACTTTTTTCAAAAGATGCTTCTAGTGTACCTAAACACCATGATAGCTTCCAAAGCCATGATGATGCTAAACATTTAATGATGGCTGCATAGCTTCCTTTTCCTATTTCCTCTGCAAGTACACATAGGTACTACTAGTATATAATTATAGTTAATAGTGTGCTTCATAACAGTCACTGAATCAATGAGGAAATTAAGATGGAAATTTAAATCAAAAAATTAAACCATTGAAAATGAAAAAAAAATCATACCAAAACCTATGGGAGACAGCAAAGTCAGTGCTAAGAGGGAAGTTTATAACATTAAATGCTACATCATAAAAGTAGAAAGATCCCAAATTAGCAGCCCACAAGAAGAGGAAGCCTACTTTTGCCACTCTCATTCAACATAGTACTAGAAGTTCTCGCTAGAGCAATCAGGCAAGGTTTAAAAAAATAAAAGGTATACAAGTTGGAAAAGAGGAAGTTAAATTATCCCTGATCACCAATGATATAATTTTATAGCTAGAAAAACCTAAAGACCCCACCAAAAAACTCTTAAATTTGATAAATGCATTCAGGAAAGTTACAGGATACAAAATTAATATACAGAAATCAGTAGCATGTATACACAAATAACAATCTAGTCAAGGGCCAAATCAAGAAGGCAATTCCATTTACAATAGCTACCAAAAAAAAGTACCTAGAAATATATTTAACTGAGGAGATAAAAATATCTCTATATGGAGAACTATGAAACACTAATGAAAGAAGTCATAGACAACAGAAACAAATGGAAAAACATCCAATGCTCATAGACTGGAAGAATCATTACTGTTAATATGACCATCCTTCCCAGAGCTATCTGCAGATTCAACACAATCCCTACCAAATTACCAACTTCATTTTTCACAGAATTATAAAAAGCAATCCTAAAATTAATATGGAACAAAAAAAGTGTCCAAATAGCCAAAGAAATCCTAAGCATTAAGAAAAAAGATGAGCCGGGCTCGGTGGCTCAGCCTGTAATCCCGCGCCTTTGGGAGGCTGAGGTGAGTGGATTGCCTGAGCCCGCGGGTTCGAGACCCTCCTGGGCAGCGAGACCTCATCTCTACAATAAATCAAAAAATCAGCCGGGCGTGGTAGCGCAAGCCTGTAATTCCGGCCACTTGGAAGGCTGAGGCGGAAGGATCGCCGGAGCCCAGCAGGTCGAGGCTGTGGTGGCTGGGAGCGGCCACTGCACTCCAGTCTGGGCGACAGAGTGAGACTCCAACTCAAAAAAAAAAAAAAAAAAAAGAAAAAAGATGGAGGCATCATATTCCCTGACTTCAAATTATACACATGCAACCAAGCAGCATAGTACTGGTATAAGTATAGACATGTAGATCAATGGAACCAAACAGAAAACACTGAAATAAAGCCACGTATTTATGACCCACAGATCTTCACCAAATGCAAAAATCATGAAAGATGGATTAAAGGCTTAAATGTAAGAATATAAAAATGCTAGAAGAAAACCTAGGAAAAACCCTTCTAGACATTGGCCTAAGCAGAGAATTTATGACCAAGTCCTCAAAAGCAAACACAACAAAAACAACAATAGACAGATGGAACTTATTAAAACTAAAAAGTTTCTGCACAGCAAAAGAAACTATTAAGAGTAAACAGACAACTTGAAGAATGGTAAAAACTATTTGCAAACTATGCATCCAACAAACTATGTATCCAGAATCTACAAGGAACTCAAACAACTCAAGAGGAAAAAATACAAATAACCCCATTAAAAAGTAGGCAAAGCACATAAACAGACATTTTTCCAAAGAAGACACAGAAGTGGCCAACAAACATATGAAAAATGCTTGACACCAGTAATCATCAGACAA